GGGGGTGCAGGGGCCGTGGGAGTCTGGGACCAGGGTGGGGGTTTATTCAGAGGGGCGGAGACCACTGACCGGCTCTCCCACAGCCCCACCTCCCGGAGAGAAGCACAGCGCAGGGAGCCTGGGTAAGTTCGGCCCGCGCCTCCTCCTGGTCAGACACAAATGGCAGCCACGGAGGCCGGCCCTGATGCTGCCCCCCCCCCCAGTCACACTGTGCTCCCCCCCCAGCCTGCCAGCAGCTGGACACCTCAGCTCTCAGGGCATGTTTATGGCCTCCCCGTCCGCCACCTCTAAAGCCACTGTGCTCTCTCACCTCCCTTCTGCTGTGATGTCTAGGGAGCTGAGGCTCCAGCTGGCTCATTTTTTAAAAAGTTGAGATGAAATTCTCAGCACAAAATAACATTTTAATAAAAGGGAACCAAACAGCCGGCTGATGTGGCTCAGTTGGCTGGACATCGTTGTCCCATGTACCAGGAGGCTGCTGTTTGGTTCCGGTCTGGGCACATGCCGGCGTTGTGGGCTTGGTCCCCAGTAGGGGGCACACAGGAGGCAAAAAGGCGAACCAAGCAGTGCATTTATCCATTCACAGCTTGTGCTGCCACCATCCGTACTAGTTGCAAAGTGTTCCCATAGCCCCAATCAAAGCCTCCACACCGTACGCGGCCCCTGGCCGATCCCGGCATCTCTAGATAATCATGTAGCAATTTTCTGTTTCCACAGATTCATTTGTTCTGGACATTTCAGTGGAAGTGGACTACGGGTGGTCTTCTGTGCCTGGTGCTCTCCCGCCAGCAAGGTGTTCACGGAGCCAGAAGGCGAAACAACCCGAAGTCCAGCAGCTGAGCCAGGGCGGTGGCCGCACATGGGAGGCTCTGTGTCACAGCAGGCCCTGCGCTCAACGAGAGGAGCTGAGTCACTGACACCCACAGCGCCCGCATGTGCCCGCTGACACATAAATAGTAGCTGGACACATAACTGGGCAGATAGCTGCATTTCCTGGCCTTTCTTTCGTATCTGGGTGTTTTATCTGATGGAGGGGAATGCCATGATGTTACCGTGGGTCTCTGTGCTCAACATGGAGGGTCCAGGTGGCAGTCGAGGGCTTATCCAAGCCCCAGCCCAGCCCTGCCCAGCCCAGCACCCTAGCGAATATCAGGCTCTCTCACTCTCTCATGCTGCATTTGTTCTAGGCTAGGACTTGGCACTCAAACTTGTTCAGAGGAAAACCCGTGGCCACTGTGGCCATTTGCTTTTGGAGAAGATGGTCAGGGAGCAGACACGGACACATTTAAAAGCAACAGTGTCCATGTCTGAGGCCACCACCCAAGACAACGGACGGGAAGCTGGAGTTGATCGCCGGCCTGCAGACAAAGGAGGGTGCGCAGTCGGTGCTGCTGGAATATTCGTGGAGCCACGTGGACAGGTGCACTGCCCAGGCCCCCTGGTCCCACAGACGATAAAGGAGCACACCTGGACTCCCTCGCCACATTTTCCACTCAGATCCGGCGTGAGCTTCCCCAGCATTTCCAGACCGTCTCACCCCGTTAGGCAGGGCAAGAGGAAAGTAACCCCCCCACAGGATGCCCCTGTCCTTTCTAACGCCTGTGTGGACAGAGGGGAAAAAAGCAGAATATACCAATGTTTAGGGTTTTCTTTTTTGTGTAAGTTTAATATATTTATACTAGAGGCCCGTTGCAGGAAGATTCCTGCAAGAATAGGGCTTCCAGTGGCTGGAGACAAGCAGAGAGGGGTGCGAAACCAGCTGAGGCAGCTTCGCTCCC